TCCGTCATATGGGGACAAGGTGCCATAACCCCAGCCAGCCGCCCTGTCTTGGTAAGGATGGTGGTTTTAGTACAAGCCACAATGATCAAGGATCGCCTTTCTCGACTTCTTCTGCCCGTGTGCGCTACCTACCCGTCGACTGCTAGCAACCACTCAGACGGCGCCAGCGCTGAGACTCTGGCTGCTGCTCTTCCCTGCTGCACATCCCAAAAAAGTCAGCATCATGGATCACCCTTCCACCGAAACTGCGACTGCTTACAAAAATGTGCTAACGGCAATCGCATTTTCATCGAGCAGCATGCCAATTTAAAGTAAACCTTCGTAGCAGGGGCCAAAAAGGGAGTGCTCAGGACCCGAAACCGTGTCGAAGCTTGTGATCGTCGACAGGAGAAAAAGTCAATAACTACAAGTCCAGGCGCCAAACCGACTGTCTAGTGTGAAGCTCGCTCGCCGGCAGATGGCTCACCCTCTGCAGACGGCTTCCATGGTGGGCGCGTTGCTTATTCCAACCATTTCAAACCATCGCACCAAGAGTTCACGAACCAAATCCACCCTCACATGTTGCGCAGATCCTGCCCGTCACCGTGTCACTCTGTCTCACCGCAGAACCGCTAACAGCGTATTGTCTGTGCTGGCTCAGCTGAGGAGGGTGAGGGAGGCCAACCGTTACATCCATCATGACCGCGAGGCACCAGCGCACTTGGCGGCTTGGCATTTCGACACCGTTTTTTCTGGCTACATTGCTCACCCACCAACCCCCGGCAGCCAGTCATGTTCCTGCGCATTCGCGTAACCCGCTAATCACCAGCTGTGATTTGGGTCGAGAGAAGCACTCGGCCAAAGTGCCTGCAGCAGCCTCAACCAGTCCAGCGTCGTGTGTCGTGTGCCGTGTGTCGCGTGCGCCTGCGTTGCGTTAATTCCCGCTGATCTGAGCCAAAGTGCAAGCCCAGCAAGCAGAAACTGGCCGGCGAGGAAGAGTCTCCGGTTGGCATTCGCGATTTCTGGAGCCCAACGGAGACTGCCCAAACGCTCTCTCGGCCCCAATCGAGATTGTAAACCTGCAATGACTAAATTTTGATGGAGCGACTCTGACATGGTCCTCGGCGGAGTTTTTCCACTCCTCTCCCGCCCCATTTCCACCTCGGAATCTCTCAGCGGGACATGTTGAACGACGTTCCCCGAAATGAGATCTGCTCTAGTGTATAAAAACCAAACAATCCATCTTTCAACGGGGCCTCGGGTCCCAGTCAGAGGGAAGTCGATGAATTCTGGGGCCGTTTTCATCTCCGGTCCCTAGGCAAGCCCTGTCTTGGGCAGATAGGAGTCGAGAGACACGCGCAGCCGCCGGCGCGCACGGCCTCCGAGCGATCCGGGTGCCAAGACATCCCAGCACTCCGTGATACCGCAGCCGCTATAGCTGCACTGATTGGTGCCGTCGCCGGTCGAGGTTTTACCAAAACCCGTCTACTGCCTGAGGTGTCGGTGTGAATAAGCTTACAGCTTCACGAGTCAATCATCTTAGCCTAGCTCACGGTGATCCCCCGCCATACATTCCCTCCTCCTGATGCATCGATACAGGCGTCCGCCGCTGTGCGCTATTCGCTGCTGCTGTCTCACATCATCCATGCGTGCCGCACGTACCCTTCCACGAGCGTTCGGCTGGCCAACCACGAGGGACTGCCCGCTCTTGCTATCTGACATGCTCATGCATATCTAGACTCTGCCGTGCTCATTGACTTGGGTACTACGCCCTGCCTCTATCGAAAGACCAGCATGAACGCCAGAACCGCGACGTGGCTCCTGTAGCCAGGACACGGGCGGGCGGGAATGCCTCTTTGCCAGCGGCGAATCTTAATTGGTTTCCATGCGCATGAAACTGTGACAACCCCTCCCAGCATTGGGTTTTGGTGGTGGTGTGTATATGTGTGGCCCTGCAGACTAGCATCTGCCTGCTTCTCCATGAGCCCACGGCCAGACTGGCGGAGAACTATGGTTCACCGCAGGACAGGATCGCCCCCGTCGGCGGTCGGGGTTCGATGGTTTTTAGCAGCGAAAATACACTTGGGGCTCGTCCGACGTTTTCATGCGTGCGCACCTTATTTCCGGATCAGTCAACATGTTTGTCCCCCGCCCCTGAGTGATTACCGGGGCGGCCCCGGCATTCGGCGTTAAGCCGGCGCCGACAGGACCGCAACCGCCCACGCCTGTCGAAACCCGTTCCCCGCCGCCGTCGCTTGAATAGCGACCGAGAGAGGAACTGGTATCGGGGAAAACTCCTTGCAGTCGCGGGCGATACCTGTACTTTGCGTCGAGTCGGCGCGAAGGTTTTCCCAATGGCAGAGAGCGGCAGTCTCACCGGTCTTGGCACCAGTGAGGGGGAAACATGAAAGCGCCGTGTCGGGATGCCCCCATTCGCACGACATCAGACTAATGTTTCAAGGTGTGGACTTTTTCGAACGGGAGCATCCGGTCGGCTCGCCGCCAGTGGGAGTCGCGTGCATCGACCTTTGGACTGAACTCCCCGCCGTTCGCTGGATGGCCCAGGGGGGAAAGGAGGAAGAAAAGAAAAGAAAAGAAAAGGTAAAAGCGAATGAGAAACACCACGGGCCCGGGTACCAGTTGGCGAGATGGCCCCATGGCGCATAACGCTCCTGTTCCCCAATGGCGTGGAGTCTGTGCTATTAGAAGTCGGAGCCGTATGACTGATGGTCGTGGCGTGGAGGCTTGCTTTCTTTCCTGTTTTACCCGCTCTCTTGCCTCCCCCGGGTTGGGGATTATACTTTGCGTTGTTTGGAGTTCAGACCGCCTGTTTTTTTTTCTTTTGCCTTTTGTTCTTTTTTTACACGCTCGCCTTTTTTGCGAGACCAGGAGTCTGGAGAGGGATGGTTGGACAGAGAGTCTATGTCGGCCGAGTGGGCAGGGCTCTCAAGTGTTGAGAGACATGCCGACGGTTGAGGCTCTTTACATATATACGCAGCCTCAATGGGCCGCGGGAGGCACGGTCGGTGCCAAGTCCTGCGTCCCGGTCAATGTCGTGCCAGCCCAACGACTGTATGGATTGTTGTTCCATACAACCCGGCCTTGGGCATTGTGCATGCTCGAAGAACGTGGGGAGCACGGGAGCAACAGACTCGCGCGGTCCAAGGTTCCGGGCTACGTCTTCTTGGCTATTCTTGGCGCCAATGTCGGGGAATGGAGGTTGAGACGATATAAAGCCTGCTGACGTGGGGGAGATGCGTTTTTGCATGACGAGCGGCCAAAACATGTTTGCTGTTGCTCTGGATTTGGGGGAAATCCGGGGAGGGGGCAGTGGCGAGAAGCGGAGGCGGTAATAGTACCTGGGGCTCGTCTTGGTTCGGTGGGAAAGGTGAAGGAGGGAAGCTTTGGCCCTGTCGTGGCCACTGAGCTGGTTTAGGCATTGCGTGTGTGTGAGTGGGGAGGGAGGGGAGTGCAAAGCATGGGAGCATGGACGGCTATGCCTATACTGCGGCCGTCTCTCCCGGAGATATAGAAGACGGGTTGTTTTATACGCAGAGCGTTTGATCATGTTGGGGCTGATAGCTATGGCCTCTCCTTCGGCAGCTTCTCCGAGGCGTGGTGACGGGGACTGGAGGGGTAGAGGGGAGCTGGCGGGGGCTTTCGCTCACCCTCCGCGAACCGGTGCTGGATGGTTGGTTGGTTGAGGCTTTGGAGTTCAGCTTGCTTGGTTAGTGATTGTCGACTTCGGCACGCTTCCGAGGGTGGATGGTTCGCGGCGGTCGTTGATGTCATCCAGAGCTGATCCTGAGAAACAAGTATTCTCGAATAGTATTCGCTCATCAAACAGAGGGACCAAGGGAAAGCTACAAGACTTCGCAGTCTGGTGTTGACGATGCATTGCCTCTGGTAGCGGATCGTTTCTCATTCACTCCATGCCAAAGAGAGGCCAGAACCATCAGCAATCGAAAAACAGCATATGGGAAACACAGGACCTCACGAGGCTGAAAGGGGAGACTGAAAGACATCGCATTGCGAAGCAGTGGCCACCTCGCTCCTAGCAGAACACCATTCCTAGCTAGCTTTCTTATGCTGACAGGCTCGAAGCTCGAGGCTCTTGCCCCTTTCATCCTATGAACCCGGAGGCCCCTGGGGCGCACAGCTCGCAGGCGGCCTCGATGACGTCCCGTTCGGGTCAGCCACAGCGACGGGGGGGCAAAACAACCTTTGGGGAGAGCGAGCGGGAGTGGTTTCCAAAACCAAGGGTGAACGTCCGCATGAACCCCGCGGCCTGTGATACTGCTTCATGTGGGCGAGTCTGGTCAAAGTGTTCGTAACCTAAAGGGCGAGGCTCGTTTAGAGAGGGAAATCGTGTCGGAACGGGACTCTGAGTTTTGTTTGTGGGATAAGGCATTCGGGTGGATGTGCAGTTCGTGAGGTTTAGATAGACGAGAAAGAACGATTGGGAGGTGGGGAGATTATTGGGTTGTGTTCTCCCCCGGCCCTGCGTCCTGCAGGACGGGCGCGCGTGACCGGTCCCGGCCGGCCAATCACCGGCGCATGGGGGCCGTGTGGGTGGAGCTGGGGGTTGGTGCCGGTGCCGAGCGCGGTTGCAGACCATGTCGGCGGGCGGGGCCGGTGAGGGGCGGGGACGCGGGGCTGCGGCGCGGACTCGGATCGACCTATCACAGCTTTCTACACTTGGGAACCAAGAGTTGGAATTGGCGACGGGAGTCCTCGTGATGAGGCTTTTTCTGGTGGCCTTGGGGGTATTAAGGGGATGGATTGGGTTGGGTGAGCGAGCCACGTGGGAATGGATGACCGGCAGGAACTGGAAAGGAGAAATGTTGACCTGCCGTAAGGAGTTAGCGATGAGTTCGTGATGGCACGACAGGAGTGATTTATATATCTCAGTTCAGCGTAGTCGGCTCTCGCCGGGATATCCAAAGTTGATGATTTGGCACTCAAACATCAATCATTCCACAATCAACATGGCAAGTCGAAACGTAACCAACATCGCAACCATGCCCCGAAAGCCACCACAACCCCTGCCCACCATTCCCAAGGCTGATGAGATCGTCCCCATGGTCAAGCGCATCCTCGCAGCTCAGCATGCCGCCCGTGAACGTGCCGCCGCAACCATCTCCCCCTCCCAGGCTACCTTCGCTAACGTCATCGCCCCGTTCCTCGAAGCCGATGACAGCACGCAGGGCGAGACAGGGGTCTTTGGCCTGCTCCGCTTTTCTGGGCCGGACAAGGCCACGCGGGAGGCCGTCGAGGAGGGGCTGAGGCTCTGGGATGCGTCGACGGCGGAGAGGTTGCGTATGAAGGGGGTCTACGAGCTCGTGCGTGCCGTCAGAGAGAGGAATGAGGAGCTGGGGCGCGAGGAGAGGAAGATATTGGAGGATTTGTGGCTGGATTATCGCGAGACTGGGCATGGGGTTCTTGATGGGGAGGGGATTGCGGTTTATCTCAAGAGGAGGAAGATGATTGAGGAGTTGAAGGGGGAGTTTCGAAAGAATTTGTACCAGGGGGGCGGTGGGTTGTGGTTTGATGAGGCAGAGCTGGAAGGCGTTCCAGCGTCGGAGATGGAGAGATGGAAGACTGGGACGGAGAGTGTTCCCGAAGAGAAGGGGAAAAGGTTTGTGCCGTTGGAGCGGGCGGATTATGACGCTGTTTTGCGACATGCCCGCAACCCAGAGACACGGAGGCGGATGTATGTTGCGTTTGATCACAGGTTTCCCGAGAACGTACCGCTATACAAGGAGATGTTGGTGTTGAGAGACGAGAATGCCCGATTGTTAGGGTACAAGAGCCATGCGGATTTCCGGATGCAGAGAAAGATTGCGCCGTCGACGAGATGGGTCGAGAGCTTTTTGGAGCGATTGAGAGAAAATCTGATGCCCAGAGGGAAGGAGGAGATGAGGAGGCTCGAGAGGAAGAAGGCGGAGCATCTGCGGTCACTTGCTGGTGGAGGCAAAGATTGCGAGAACTGGAGGGTGATTTTGCCGTGGGATTTTGAATATTATACGCGCCTTCTCGAAGAGGAGGGCCATGTCGATCATGAGAGGGTTTCGGAGTACTTTCCCCTGAGGCACACGCTGTCTACCATGTTGGGTCTGTTTACCGACTTCTTGGGCCTCGAATTCGTCGCGGTTGCTAAAGAGGACCTGATTGGCAAGGTCTGGGATAAGGAGGTTGAGGTTTGGGGCGTCTGGGAGGGGAGAGGGGAGAGAAAGGGGGAGTTTGTGGGGTATCTCTATGCTGATATCCTCTGGAGGGAGGGCAAGTATCGTACGGCGTGCAACGTCAACTTGCAATGCGTAAGTCGGCTCAGGACGCGGCCATAAAAGCAAGTTTTGCTGACTGGATCTCAGGGGTATGTCAGGCGCGATGGGAGCAGAGTATACCCCGCCACGGTCCTAATGTGTGCATTCCAACCCCCGACGGCAGCTTCTTGCGCGTTGTTGAAGTACCGCGAGGTAGTGACCTTATTTCACGGTAAGTGCTCAACCCTTCCCACCCCTCGACCCACTGGCGGTGCTATCGGGCTATTCTCGCCAGAGACTTAGCCGAAGCCTGCTAACGTCCAATAGAACTTGGCCACGGCCTCCACGACCTCGTCAGCAGGACAAACCACACCCGCTTCCACGGCACGCGCGTCGCGCCCGATTTCGGCGAGGCGCCCAGCACAATGCTGGAGAAGTGGTGCTGGATGCCGGCAGAGTTGATCAAGATGAGCCGGCATTATACGCGGGTGGACGCGGCGTACATGTCTAAGTGGAAAAAGGAGCATCCTGCCGGGGAAGATCCGCCGCCGGAAAAGATTCCGGAGGAGCTTGTAAAGAGGTTGGTCGAGAGCTGGGAGTTGAATCGAGGATTGTGGTTTCTGCGACAATTGTGAGTTGTTTCCTGACCAGTTGAGTTTGAGGCTGGTACAATTGCTTTTGGGGGCGAATAGCAAATGCTATAGTTAGGGCTTTTTGAAGGGCCCGCTGATGATTGACAGGGTCTTCGCGACGTTTGACTTGGCCGTCAACACCCAAGAGTCCACCCAGGTACTAAGAGATCTGGACGAAGTCGAGTTGTACAATGACCTCAACGACTCTCTCACCTTGAAGCCCAACCCAGACAAACGAGGCTATGGAATTGTCCATTCGACACATCTCATTTCACTGTACGACGCGGGATACTACGCCTATCTGAGGTACGTGCTGCATTATTTTAGCACTCCACCCATGAACCCCTTCTGCGCATATTCTCCCGTCAGTCGCATGGCTCGGTACTCTCGTGTTCATATGCTTGGGAGCTAAGTCATGGTTCCCTTAGTGCTCAAGCCTTTGCGGCAGACTTCTTTGAGACGCATTTCGCTCGGGACCCCCGCAGCCCGGAAGCTTGGGATAGATATCGGCGGGAGATTCTGGAGTCCGGTGGGAGCAGGAATGCGATGGAGATGATGACCGACTTCCTCGGTCGGGAGCCTGGCCCGGAAGCTTTGCTGCGGAGTCTTGGCCTAGAAGTTGGCAGAAAACCTTCGACTGTTCAGAGTCGTGCTGGAGTTCCCTGAAATGATTTAATGGCCATTCGAGTCACTAGGTTACACGTTCGTGAGTCCATCAACGGAGATGGGGAAGAGCCTGAAGAGTTGAAATACATACAATGCGAAAGACCCTTTTCTCCTTGAGTCTTTATCAAGTTTCAGTAAATGCCTAACTGAGGAGCCTTATCATGCTCATGTATACTAAGTATACGAAATATTCTGTAGGGAGCATTCTTCAATATGTTACTGTGAGGCTCCAGTGAACTTTACTTATAATCCCCTATTCGCAGGCTCCCATATCGCAATGGCTCTTTGCTAGCGCCGGGTTGCAAACAGGGAAGCTTCACTATTAATGAAGCTTCAGATAGGCGTTAGCTAAAAGCAATGCTCGGATCTAAACTCTCAAATCTTGAGGAGTTGAAAAAAGAACCATATTTAACTAGACTCTACCTTGTATATATGACGTACTTCTGGAACGGTATTGTCTCAGCTCATACGACCTGATTGAGGCTTTCAGTGCCTATAACGACGAAGTGATCTGATATTCCTATCATGTTTGATTAAAAGGACCTCATTGTCCACTGAGAAGTTCACTTTGTGCTTCTTCTTTGCCTATTCGGCCTCTCGAAGTCCTTCTTGCTCATTTGAAACTGGTCCTTATCTTATCGACACCTAGAAACTATGTTGTGGACCGGCAGGCTTCTTTGCAGCTTTTTCCTCGTCTATAACAGGCTGGCATTACTTTTCACAGATTCTGAGTTGTTGATTAACTGTTGTCGTCTTGTAAAATGCGCAGTGCATCCATCGAGAGGTAGCGGATGCTTAAGTCGCAGCACACCTCCGAACCTAAATCGCCTTCGTGAGTGCAGTTTTCAGGCTGCCGCCCTTCAATTTAGATTAGGATGTACACAGTACAGCTTGGACACGTATTATGCTTGCAACAGCTTGTATTTTGATCATTTTGTCTCTAAATAATCAGAGAGAATGTCTGATCGGATGGCCCGTCGTGTTTCTGGTATCTGAAAAAGATACTCATAGGTTCTGAGGATGGATCTTCAACTTAGTCATGTACGTGAACCTATCACCACTATACGTAGTAAGGGCTCTCTTCTCAGTTCATACTAAAGGGGCTACATATGATAATGTATAGTTCAAAATGGAATTGAACCTCGTCAGAGTGGGTCGATATAGTTCCGCCCTACTAATATCAGCTAAGAAGAGCGGCTAGGCTGCGAAGAGTGGTGCCCCGTCGGCCGGTTGGCCTCAGGTCAAAGGACCTAATTTATGAGATTATATCTGGCTAATTATATAGTAGCAATGAATGTAGAGAGATCAGGGAAACGTGAGAATAGTTATAGAAGGGTAGAGACAAGGCATGTTGGCTCAGTCCTTATTGGTGCCTCTCAACGTAGGTAGGACGTCGCGCTGCAAGACAGATCAAACTGATACAACTGACGTAGATATGATATTTTATTATAGTTTCCCTCCCTTACACTTCATCGATAATCCTTAAAAAACTTTCACCCTCTTCTCAAAGCAAGGGCTGGCCCACGGGTGTACTTTGGCCGATAGCAAATGCTCAGATTCGAGGAACGTGTTGCCGCCGTACCAAACCAATGTCGTAAGTTGGCTCTAAATCAATGAACATGGCCATTGTCTTTCCCTAGATGCCTTCGGTTGTCTGATGTTCACTTGCTCCTTCTTCATTTCCCTTAAATCAAACGCCGGTGTTGGGTAGAGATATCCACCAGAAATCAAACACGTGCAAACCCGGGTACTTTGGTTGCCGCCGACGAAGTCAAATATGATAAGCCCCTCACTGAATCCTTCTATGAGACACTGTGACTGGATACTAAACCGTCAACTCCTACTTGTACTGGTGTAGGTAGTTGACGCCTAGCACTGCCATGTGTACGTGCACTTAGTGTTCACAGGAGTGCAGCTCGTCCTCCCGTTGGTGCCCGAGCCGGCAAATTTCCCGTTCATGTTTCCGCAAGCTACCTCCGGGCTGGCGTACTGAGTGTCGATCTCGCAGGTGAGGTCGGCGGAGCAGGTGCCCGAAATATTCCAGATGTCCCCTTCCGCGGCCAGAGCCATAGGTACCAAGCAAGCGATAAGAATTTTGAATTGCATCTTTTCTAATAGGTGAGGAGATTCCAATTGAAAGGTTGTGGAAATGGATGAGAGACAGGAATTGGAGATGCGGTGTTAAGCTAAGTGATGTAGAAAGGGTGTGTTGAGCAATCAGCGGCTTCGAAATACTATCGAGCAATTGAGCATCTTATACGCCTTTTCCCTCTATTAATAGAAAATGACGTTGAAAGCGAGAGGCTCGTATTTGAAAATGCTTGGGCTGGGCTAAGCCTGACTCGTGAATGTAGATCTTATATATGAAGGGTACTATGGTAATGCTCTGAAGCCCGCCTTTTCGGTACGTAGCTGTATGAAGATTTTGCTCCTGAATTGAACCTTGCTGTCGCTGATCCGATAGGCATCAGAGGAGCTGCTATTGATTCGCCAGTATTCTTAAAGCCCGCTACCTAACAAGCTATCTTTGTATTGCTTCTCTCTCTTGAGTACCAGGGAGCGACTCTACATAATACCGTTGGCTTTCCTCTTAAAACATCTTTTCTGCTACTCCAGACCGTCTAGTGAAATCTCGTGTTTTCTGTTTCCTATTATGGACTACTGATTGTTGTAAGATGTCTGACATGGGAGCTTAAAGATGCAACGTACGTACGTGTCATACTCGTACATGGCGTTGGGGAAATATTCAATTCCTTGTGGAACACAGCACTATCAACCAAAAGATTAAAACCCTTGTCGAATCATGGCCAAGCTTAGTGCATTGAGCCCGCTGGTTATGTGGAGAATTGATGGACTACAAAAAGTTAAATGATGCATTATATTGTGTGGCTGTGGGACGCGTAGGTATTTTCGCGTGATCAGCTCAGCATCAAGTTCTTTGTAAGATTTACTCTCTGTGAATTCTTTTGATGAGCCAGAGCCCACCGGATCTTTCTGGCCAGTAATATACAGACAAAGCTCGCTGTTATGTATGACTACTTGAGTTTGCTGGTGAAAGTAAATGGGTCGAAGTTGACATCATCAATTTGCGTGGCCCTGGGCTTTGTGGTTGCTCCTCACAATACTAGGATCTTAGCTATTCTGAAGAAGTCGCAAACAGAACTCATTCGCCTAATGCCCATAATTCTGGCATACCATTGTCTTTGTGCCGAACATCAAGCTCTGCTTTTTGATAAACTGGGGATCTAATTGCCTAGTCTCCCCGGCGGCAAATGTAATGATCTCTGGCGTGCAATTGGAAGGAAGTGAGAAGTCTCGTGTTTCCAGTGCTATGGGTATTGAGACAAAAGAAAATTATCAATAGCCTGAAGGTATAAAATCGATTTTGCCAACTTTAGGAGACATGGCTTCCCCTCATTGAAAAGCCTTTGATATTGATTAGCGCCGCTTTGCTGACAATGACCGCAGTCAGAAGTTCGGTAAGAAGCCCAGCGGAAGCCTAAAGAAAAGCCAAGATGGCCAAGTCAGGGTGATCAATATGGGGTCGGGGGATAATTGATTCAAAGACCACTGGCCCCCCTAAATCAGCGAGATCACAAGATCTACGTTCCTAAAGTATTGTACCATATACAAACGATGTGATAAGTCTTGAAACTTCTGTCCAAGCTGTATGCCTTCATTCAAGACACTTGCATAAAGACTAGTTCTAATGCGAATTAGGTATTGGTCGAAACCGACTATAAGTCTCTTTTGTGCGTAGAGGTGAACCTTACTTGCCGTATCGCCAACCTTGGGGCAGCATGCGATCAAACCGCATTCGAACAACTATGTCTTGGTATCAAAAAAAAAGTATATTTTTGTTTGCCGACTTATGAGTACCAGAGCCAAGCCGGGTCATTTTTATGCTGGGCAGGAAAATTGCTATTATGCCTGACCAGCTCCCGAACGAAAGCATCTTGACATTTGGCCAACTCGCGATTTCCTTTAGTCCTATTGTCACCGATCACCCTAAGCGAACATGTCGAAGGAGTCCCTGAACAACGTGCGTGGCTGGTTTTTTGGGGCCCGTTCGGACGAGTCATACATCGCTCTGCGTGAGGACGGAGAAAGGAACCGGTCAATGGAGCTGCCATCCAACGAAGATGAAGCGATGCCATCACCACCTCGCGCGTGGAGCTACGATTCCAGCTGGCATCCCAAAGACGCCGTGCGACGCATATGTTGGGCGGTTTTGCCGTCTTTTCTGGCCCGCGCACTGGGGCATGTTGATAAGGAAGGGGAAATCCCTATGGCCAGCCCAACATCGTATTTGAACGGCCTGCGTGGCCTGGCATCATTCATCGTCACCATCGGGCACAATACAGATGATGTGAGTGTCCCAAGTGTACCAACGTATACCCTTTGACTGACGAACGTCTGGTGCAGTACCTGTGGATATACCGTGGCTGGGGCGAAACGGCCGAGGATCGTTCCCTGATACAACTTCCCTTCATCCGGCTCGCGTACTGCGGAATCTACATGGTCACCATATTCTTCGTCATCAGCGGCTTTGCGCTCACGTATAGCCCCTGAAGAAATCCCACGCCGGGCAGAGCGCCGACGCCATCGGATCTCTCCCGTCCAGCGTGGTCCGCCGCCCGTTCCGGCTCTACATGCCCGTCATCCCAATCCTCGCCGTCACAACCATTGTGATCAACAAGGGGGCATACTACTCGGCCCCTATGAGAGACCCCAGCGGACCCGTGTCCGACGATATTTGGTCCTCGATAACATTCGTCTGGCGCACACTGTTCACGCTCATCACCCAGAGCACTACCGGTACAGTCATGCCCCAGGGCTGGACGCTATATGTCGAGTACCAAGGATCGCTACTCGTGTTTACGTGTTGTTTGGCCTTTGCGCGGGTATCGGCTCTGGTGCGAAGCCCCTGCGTCTTGGGGCTTCTTTTCGCTTTCCTCAACCTCAGCCAGTGGCAGCCGTGCCTGTTTCTTGCGGGCATGATCCTTGCCGACATCCGGCATGTGCGGCAGAAACTACCGCCTCTTACGGGGGCATGGCGCAAAGTTGCTGATGTCGCCTCGTGGCTGCTGTTTGTGCTCGCTCTCTTCTTGGGCGGCTGGCCACAGAAAGGCAACGCCTATGCAGCCACTGGGTATTCGTGGTTCTATTGGGTACCCACTGCCGGCATAGACCACACGTACTTCTTTCCATCTATTTCGGCTATAGCGCTAGTAGCGGCGCTCGACAACCTGCCTGTCCTACAACGCGCGCTTAGTTCGCGATTGATGTTGTACCTGGGTGAGATTAGTTTTGCCCTATATCTAGTGCACATAAGCGTTGGCAGAAGTTCCATCACCTGGGGCCTGAGGTATCAGATGGTGGACGCTGGGTATACCATGGGCGTCGCCTGGACTGTTACCTTTGTTATCATGTTGTTTCTGTCTATTTGGCTTGCTGATATACACTGGAGGCTTTGTGATAAAAAGTCAGTGCAATTCGCGCATTGGCTAAGTAAGAGGCTGGGTGTATAAAAATTACAACCTTGAATAGTTGAGACTAGTTCAGTTGCTTCTCATCAGTGTACTTCTTGTCAGATTTAGAAAGACGTCTCAAAGCCAATATTCAAGTGGTCATTCAATCTACTTAATCAATTCTCTGAGGCATTCGTGAAGAGTGCCACGTATATTGAGGCAGCTGCTCAAAATATTCGCCGAGAAAGCCTATAGCCATAATAGGGTACTTCTGGGTATCCGCGCATGTAATAGTATGTTAAGAATCTTTCACAGATCCATGTCTCTGTAGTCAGGCTACAAACCGTCTTGCCGTCCATGTGGACGTAAGCTTCGTTGTTCAGGGGATCTGAGAGGCTGTGCGAAGTGGGTTTCTCGACCAGAGCAGCATGAACGAGCTGTTACTATGCTGGGCGTCTTCTCGAAGAAAGGACCAGGGTGGTCCGAAAGCCGAGGGCACGACAAGCGACAGAGAGGCGATTCTCGTCGCCTCATATGTCGAAACGGCTATACTGCTCCCCTGCCAGATATGCCTAAAGTTACCGTCGAACTCTGTGATAGTGCATAATCATATATCCGTTATGAACGTACAAAGCCGCACAACCAAGTAGATGGAGAGCCCAGACAAAAGAACTGGAGCGAGCCAGAGATATAAGTCGGCAATGAGGTTTCGGGGTGCAAGTGAGAAGCACCCACCGCGCCGGAGTTTTCGCTTCTAGTTCAACTCCGCTGGAGATTATCACCAAACCCCCCTCCCCAGCAGAAGCCTTTGAACAATACAGTTGTAATATAACTAGGTTCTAACGCTTGTAAGAATACCCACACTGGCTGCTCTCTCAATTGAGTTCTCACAGGAGTAAGGTTGTCTAGTATTGAAAAGCCGCCGTCGGGGGTGACAAACCTTCCTGCTATGTAGTATCAGTTCAAAGCCAGCAACACCCGTTCATCCGATGGACCTTACAACAACTATAAATTCTCTCTGGCTGCCTTAAGCATTGTCATATGTGCAGTCTGTTCTCTCACCATCCAAGACTTCAGACGGACTTTTCACACCCAGGTAAGACCTCGAACACAACACCTGCAACCACGCCTCCTACTACCCACCGCACATGCTGACGAAAAACAGCCAGCAACTCTCACATCAAAACCTCGACAACCCACTCCCCAAAAGCAGAAAAGCATACCACCTCCCCACCGCCCGCCATGAAGTTCGTCGTCTTCATCTCCGCAGCCGCCCTCCTCGTCTCCGGCGCGTCCGCGGCCTGGTGCCGCGACTGCAACTATTACAACATTGTCCAGGGCCGCTGCGACGCCTGCAGCAAGTCCGAGATCTACTTTGGGTCCGTCCAGCGCTGCGTGAACTGCGGGTCCTCGTGCCCCGTTGCGCAGCCGGCGAGCGACTTTTCCGGGTCGACCGTGTATGAATGCTGAGGCCCTGCGCAAAGATGTAGGTTTTTCGGGAGGGAAGTAGCAAATTGCTCCCGCTTTACCAGTTTGGCTTCCTCTACGGATCAAGATAGTCAAGACTTTTGCTATGTACTGCATAAGAATACCCAATGCTCTTTGACTCAACCACTCGCTTTCTGACTTCGCTCTTTTCATTGTGCAATGCTCAAGTCCCGGGTGCAGAGAGTTTATAAATGCAGGACTAGAGTTGCTGGTGGTGGTTGAGCAGCAATACTTGTGGCGGCTGCGCGGTTGACTTCCATTCAGTTAAGATGAAGTTGACGCCTTAGAATCTTCTTTCGAACACCAGAGTCCATGCCTGCTCAAGATAGAGCTCAAGTAAGGACAGATAGCGATTCACCAGGCACTCGACCAGATACTCTGGGCGGCTTGCAGCGACTCACCTATCTGTGGGACACTGGGCGCAAGTGTTTCCCATTCAACTAATGCGTCAAAAGGGGACTGACACTCACAGGACGTGCATGCTTCCAATAACATCACTTAAGAGTGGGTGCCTGTATCTCTTTGTATCGTGCCATTAAACGGGCTACGTATCGAAGGCCTCTCAAAATATGCCTATAGGAATCTTGCCCGAACATCAAAAACGTAAAGAAAAGGGAATGGTGCCGCGAATCAGCCCAGCCCGTTGTTTGTGTGTGTATCGTGTCGTCCAATAACGGAGCCAGTCCGCGGACATCAACCCGAGGTATCTTGTTTTCCTGCCACTTCTATCACGTCAAAATAGTCCATCCCCTTATTCACGCTCTCTACAGGTAATTCTGTAACACCAGAGCCAACGATGCCGTGTGGCAGTGTAAAAGTTGTCGCCGCTGTTTTCACCTCTCCAGATCTCCTTACTGCACGACCCCCTCGCATGTACGCGAAGATGCCCTTTGAACTCTCCTTCACCAGACAGTCGAGTCTGATAGATTCAACACCCCCAGCTGGCTTCAGCAGCTCACAAGGGAGACCTTTGCCTGCGCCGTACATATCATCCTGGAAAATCGTAACCTTCACGCTCGGCACATCACTTTGACGAGACTATCGTCGCAATGCAGGGCCACTCCACAACCCCTTGCTCGTCTCAACCACCTTGTTCTGCTCGCTGCCTGGCCGCAGGCTGGCTGGCACACTGCTCGTCACCGGCCCGGCGTCTGTCATTACAACATCATTCTGGCTGTCAGCCTCGGGTTGGGTGCCATAGCCCGAGTCCTTGTCGCGCTGGCTACCCATGCTGATGGCACTGTCGTCTTTCCTCACGTCCGGCTGGTTCTTCAGAGCCGCAGCGCCTCGTGCAGGCTCGCGCGATTTGGCGCCATCCATCAGATGGGCCTGGCCCTCGCGAAGCTTGTTGATGGCGCGAACGGTATCAATTGCGGCATGTAACGTCCTACGCGCGTTGAAGTTCTTCTTGACGGTTGGCAGCAGGTTCTGGCCTTCGCCCTCGCCGCTGTTGAGGTAGCCGGCGACGAAGGGGTGTTGCAGGGCGTCATGCGCCGTCATGCGCTTATTCGGGTCGATGGTGAGGCAGCGACGGATGAAGTCTTTGGCATGGTCGGAGACGCCGCGCCAGTAGTCGAAGGGCGTGAAGCTGTAGTCGGCGTTCAGGATGGCCTGCATCTCCTCGAAATCGCTATCGCGGTCGAATGGCGTGTAACCGCACAGAAGGAAGTAGGTGATGACGCCGAGGGCCCAGATATCGACGGGCTTGCCGTGGCCAATCTTTTTGAAGATTTCGGGAGCCATATAGCCAGGAGTGCCGCATGTCGTGGTCAGGACGTGGAACTGCTCCTCATCCATGATGCGGCTCAGTCCGAAGTCGGCAATCAGGAGGTCTGCATTGTCTTCTGGTGTGCGGAAGAGGAGGTTCTCGGGCTTCAGGTCGCGGTGGACGATGCCGTGGTCGTGTAGGTAAGCTACGGCGGAGAGCGTCGCGCGGATCAGGTCGGCGGCGTCGGACTCGTAGTAGCTGCCTTTGCGGCAGATTCGGTCGAAGAGCTCACCGCCAAGAGCCAAGTCGGTAACGAGGTAGAGGTTGTTCATAGTCTCGAAGTAGTCGACGAGTGTCAGGATGTTCTGGTGGCCCATCGAGACCTTTTTCAGCACTGCGATCTCATTGCGAACCTGCGACAGAAAGGGTATGTCAGCTTGGGTTGTCGATTGGTCTACGAATATAGGTGGAGAAAGCGCGCACCATGTGTTCTCGGCCGGCCATCAATCGCTTGTTGATGACCTTTGCGGCGTAGTAGCGACCGGTATCGATGTGGACGCATTCCTTGACGACGGAGTACGAGCCGGCGCCCAGCGTCTTGCCGACCTTGTACCTGCAGGGCTGAACCTGAGGTTGCTGGGAAGCCCCGTTGGAGCCCGTGGAAGCCATCACTGCGGCTCAAGGGGACAGTGAGGACGGGTTTATAGACGCGGGGGGATCGAGGCCGCGAACGTCACCCACCGGTCGAGGGCTAGGCGATTGTCCGGGGAGCGAAAATCGGTCGGGTCGTTGGTGGTTGCGAGTTCAAAAGGGTTGACGTTGGCGGGGTAAAGCCGATGGCGAAAGTCGGTCGGTCTTTTTTGGGGGTCGTCTCGAAGGTAGGTACGGATACAGGGGGCCGATGTCGTTGGTAGAGTTGACAGCTCCTTCGTTGAGCGGAAGCTAGGCGCAACTGCTGCGGGAGAAGTCGCAAAAATGGAGGAAGAGTCGGTCAAAAAAGAAAAGAACACGGGTGAGGCTAGAAGTCGAGGACTGGGGGTATTCTGGAAAAGATGGCTTCAGAGGAGCGAGCAGCTGACAAACTGGGCACGGCAGGTGTTTGGATAGATTGTTGGGCTGATTTGATGATCGACGGTCCCTGTCCGAGTCGACTTTCCCCTTTGGAGGTGGAGGTGGTCGAGGGTCGAGGTTCGAGGGGTCCCGCGGGGCCAATGCGAGCAGGGATTAAAAATCGGCACACCAGTCCCAGCAGATAGATGAAGGATGTGATGCGCTGTCACTATGACGCTGGATCGCAGATCAATCTGATCAGGCCTCGAGCACGCGATGGTAGGCGTACACTACTGTAGGCGCGGAGAGGATGCTGGGCAATGATGGGAAAATGAGCAAGGCAGAGGATGAGGACGGGGAAATGTAAAGAAGGGGAAATTCGAGGATTGAGCAAGACTGGATGGGATGGACTGGACGGGAGAGAGACGAACAAAGTGGGTTCGGCGGGAGGCACTACCTTACTGCGCTAGCACATAGCACCGACTGATGGCTGCTCCTGCTGGATCCAGGCCTTTCAGCTGGAGACATCAGGGAATCGAGGTCCCGCAACTCGGAGACGTGTCGCTATCACGCCGAGAGAGGACGAGACCCAGCCAAAGCAGGTCGAGCTCGTGTTCCGCCTACTGCTTTGTCTAGGGGTCGTCCCCCACTCCATCTTCGAGATACCGGCCCCTTCTACGCCTTCATCTACCTGCTTTATTCATTCGACGATGGCAGGCCAGGACAACGAAGCGAGCAAGCGGTACTGGAGTTTCGAGAATGGGATAGAAGACGGGGACAGGCTGATGATGGCGCGACCCGGGCCAAGCCAGGAGTCTCAGATGGGATTTCCGCAGCGACGCAGTCTTCCCCGAGACAGGGGTAGCCGATTTCCCCACTCCAGCTGGCAATCGGTCCATGCACACTCGCTCAAAGGCGGCCCCCATCCAGTCCTTCTACCGTCCGTTCCTCTGACATCTGGCAGTCAGCAGCAAGCCTCGTCCCATCAGCAGAATAAGCAGAACGCCAGGCTGCCTCTTGTTGTCTAGAAATAGGCACGTGTCAGGCTAACAATCGCAAAGGAGTCGCGGGATTCCTCCCATAGTGACAGCCCTGACTGCTTTTTGGACATGCTTGGCTGCAGTGAGCATCTCCGTCTAGGTATGAGAGTTGTCTATACACATGTCTTACACCCAACAGATACCATCTTCCTCCACTCGCCGTATTCGGCACCCAGCCCCTATCTGTCGTTGTCGTCTGAGGCCTTCTCTTCTTCTTTCATAAGTGAGTGCCGTGCATCATTTTAATACCCAGTAACCCGATTATCTTTGCATGTCCTTGCCGACTCCTAGTACATCTCAGAGCCGGACCTCGTAGCTAGGTTAGGAATTCCAGTCCTGCAGTTTTTTGTTACATATCCATCATTTCTTGGAATCAAAGTTCAGGGTCCAAGGGTCCCTGCAATTGCCGGCCGGCCGCACCTTGGCTCAAGCCTGAAGTCTGGAGTCTAGACCTTACCCCACCTCTTCCTTTTGCTTCTCGATGTCCACAACGGACAGGTGTGTGGATGTCTCAGTCAACTTTGCTGGGCTAAGCTAGGCGAACCAAAAAAAACAGAGCTCGGGCAAGCATACCGCGATTCAGCGTCACGCTCATTGGGTCGAAAGGCTCATTACTCGCGTCCTAGGATGGGATTTCGACCGCACATGCAACGCATACAGCCATCCCGATAACCTCTGAGCTCGATCGCTCAGTCGAACGATGGCCTTCGACTCTGCTTCTTGGAGCTCAGCTGCTTCTTCTGCTTGAGTCGTCCCTCATTGAATGACTTTGCGCTGTGCAAAGCTTGTCAGCCTCTCATTTCTTACAGCATAACTCGGACACGCCAACTCACATCTCGGCGTGCTTCTTCTTCTTGTCCGGACTCGTCTCACCAGGGACGGTTTCCTGAAAGATTCTCTTGACTTCGTCAACGAGCTTTTGTTGATTCTCCTCCGTATTGGCATCCCTCTGCCGGTGCGTCTGGGCCTGCAACGTCAGAGAATCCGACCTGGCCGTATAGTATTTTGATTCTCTAATGCCCCGATGCAACAGTTTCGGCAGAACCGGCAAAAGGTCTTTCACAGGCCACACAGTGACGGCTTTGCTTTCAGTTCTGGAGAGAAGTTAGAACTAGTCTCAGTTGATAGCTGACGAAACCCTACTTGTTGACGTGCTGCCCACCCGGACCGCTTGAACGCGCGTACGTTGTCTGGCCCTTGGGAAGCTGGCTGCCATCGAAAGCCTTGTGCCACGATCTCGCCCTTTCGAGCTCTTCGGAGTCGAATTCCGCCTCGAACGCTTGGTACCTGGCCCAGCGGATAGGTTGCAGGGGTCGTACGAGAGGGTTTCCCAAGGCTGGGCGTACAGAACGAAGGAAGCTTGCGGCCAGCTTCATCGTACGTAGAGGGCCGAGGGATCAAACAGACGTTGCCAATAGCAAGGTTCAAACTAAGAGAATTTTGACAGAGGTGAAACTCGGGTAAACAGTATTATACAATCATTGGAAGTGTTTCGTGTCTGGACGGATACAATGAGCTCTGGTGTTCAGACCTGTGGCCTCTTTCACCTCGCTACCGTGCTCAGACGCATTGCTTGCTCATTGATGACGGGAGTCAACGAAGCTAAGGTGGAGAGCTTTTCCTGAGCAAAGGGTTGTACGTGCCGATTGACAGTGTCTAGTGGTCGATTGGCACAGTTTCCCCGATTGGTTTAACGCCGCCCACTTGACTTACCATATGAGGTTAGCTTGCTATGCGCAGCTTCCGACCGTTTTTTTCCTTTCAAGACCACATTGGCCACAACTCCCAATCTCCAGCAATCAGCCTCCCCTGTCAATGGAAGGCCCCAGCCTTGCGGAGCTTGTGGGCGAGGTAAATGCCACCTTCTTCGCTCTGCCCGTTTGGAATTTTTCGTTTCCCCCCCCCCCCCCCACGCGACTTCCCTCAATACCTCACCTCACTCTTGGTACCTCGGGCTCCCACAGCTTTTAGTCTTTTCCCTCCCGCACACACACTTTGACGCGACACACCGACACTCCGCCCGCAACGACACCTCGGCGCCCATGGCTCCTAGGCCCGACAGTGCTCCCACTTCCTGTCCAATCGACCTCTTTCGCAGCTCGAGAGGATAAGCTCTGAGAAATTTCCGGCCTGCCTTTACTTTTGAGCCAGAGTTTTTCTTGCAGCTTCCCTAGAGCTCCTTGCGCGCCCGCTCGCCATCCATCTCATCGGCTAACCCTCCCGTGCCTGCGACCTATTTTTTTTTAACCCTCTCGCGCCTGCTGCTTCCCACCCCGCCTTGCTACCACTTCCCTCCCACGTTTGGATCCTAACCCAATCACAACCAATCGTGCCTGCCCTTTTTCCGCCTTCGCCTTGCACCCCCTCGCATGGCGACTCTTCCACGGCTCAACTGAACTTGCAGAGAACAAGGCGTCCGGTTGCCTCGTTCACCTATATCCCAGCTTGACATAAAGCCCATCCTCCACCTCGCAGCTCTCTCTTCTCGACAGCACCTCCGCCTCCCCAGCCTGCTTCTCTTTCTCTCTCTGTCGCTCTGTTTGCGCCAGCCTCGTCGTCGGCACCAGCAAAGCTCCAAACTGTCGCCGCACCGCCCGTCGTCACCACCAAACGCGCGCGCCCTCTTCCAGCAATTTGATGCCCGAGCTAGAAGCCACCCCGGAGTTCGAGGCTACTGCTGCCGACCTCTCGCCCTACTGCCCGTCCCCCCTCCACTCCGCCGCTCCAACCGTTGTGCCTGCCCTCCAGGATACTGCTGATATCCTTGATGCAATGTCGACGTCCGCCCAAACTAATGGAGTCGCCTACGGTGGCGTAGACGCTCCCGCCCCCGCAGTTGCATCCGTCCCGGCCGACTCGTATGCCATGGCCGACAACAGCGGCGCAAATGGCGACGACGACGACGTCGACAGTCTGGATGATGCCTACGGAGAGGAGGACGAGACACACGCGGACAAGGTGCAGGAACAACAGGTGGAGCCAGACGCCGGCGAGGATGACTATCTCAAGATCTTCGACTCCCCTCCTCGGGATGCGGATGAGGATGGCGCTGATCAGGATGATGTATCAAAGGCACCAGAATCCATGCACAATTCCGCCGCTTCTGATTCTTTGACCAGCCCTTCTCATGGGGCCCCTCCGCCTGTCGCTGATTCCTCGTCGGCCCGCCCTGCTGCTGCAGACCAATCCTCCTCCACCAATCCCGCGCCTCCCACGACAGCTACCGCCCACCCAGGAGCTGATTCGAGCGCGCCCAACTCGACTGCCAACGTCGCCTCGTCCAACGCACGCAATGACAATGCCCCCGAGGATGATCACGCCGCTGATATTTCTCGCCTCGTCGCCGAGATGACTGGCCAGACGAGCGAGTCCAACGCAGGCCAAAGCCCTGCCGGCTCTACCCAGAACCATGATGCCCTGTCATCCTCCAACTTGACCCCCTCCGCGTCTGCTACTCTTCCTCCCAGACCTCCAGTGCCCCAGCAGACGGCTCCCACCTTCCCTTCTGAAGACTATCGAGGCTTTCATCAGCATAATGGCGCCGCCCCCCAGGGCCCTTCCAACATGATCGCGCCGCCCACGCCAGGACAGCCATCCACCTATGTGTCTGCGGGTGCCCCAGGTGCCCCCGGCACCACGTCCGACGCCTTTGGCGGCCTCCCTCCCCCTCCCGCAACCGGTCTGAACGCGGCTGTCCCGATCACATCCATGACTGCGCCTCCGTATCCCAACCCTGCCGGCCATGCAGCTAACCAGCCGGATGAGTCTACTGACCGCCAGAAGCATTGGGACACCTTTGTGAACGACGAGCGCCGGTACATGGCGGACGCTAAGTGGGATAGATTCCCCGATGGCTCACGCATCTTTATTGGTTCGCGCTCTCTCTCATCAGGCAGACCCGACGGCGCCATTGACTTCTTTTCAGGCAACTTGTCGAGCGAACGCGTCTCGAAACGGGATGTCTTTGACATCTTCCACAAGTACGGCCGCCTCGCCCAGATCTCGCTCAAGTCGGCCTACGGTTTCGTCCAGTACCACAACCTGGAGGACGCCCAGGCTGCCATGGACAATCTGCAGGGCATCGAGATCAAGGGCCGCAAGATTCGTAAGTGACCTGGCATCAGGAACAGCGGACCAAAGGGTGCTAACTTTGACCAGATCTTGAGATCTCGCGCGCTCAGAAGAAGAAGGACGGCAGCGAACGCAATCGTTCCCCGGACCGCGGGGGCCGCGGGGGCCGACAGGCAGGGCGTCAAGATCGTCAGGACGCAGGCAGCTCGCACCACGACAACCGTCGCAACCGCGACGACTACAGGCCGGGTCGTAACTCCCCTCCGAGGCGGAACGGCGGTCACGCCCGAGAGGACAGCCACGGCCGGGAGCGCTATCACTACGACGCCCACGACCGATCGCGTGGCCGATCCCGTTCTCCTTCGGGTTACGGCCGTCAGAAGGACGGTTACCGCAGACGCAGTCCCAGCCCGCCCGCTTTCAACCGAGCTTCTGCCGCTGATGACCGCCTTGACATCCCGCGTCGGTATGGTAACCAGGTCCCCGATGTCCAATTCCTGCTCCTCCAGGAGCTCAGCCGCGACTTCATTGCTTGGGTTGAGCGTGGCTTCACTGACCGAGGCTTGAAGGTGGATGTTATGTTCCTTCACCCCAGCTTTCCCCGTGAGGCAATCATTCAGAGACAGGTGATTGAGGGCGTCCACGCCATTGTGGACCTCGACGTGCACGCGCAAAATATGGGCAAGATCCCGGTCCGAGTTTTTGACCGCTCTGGCGGTGTCAGTGCTCGGTATGACGACTACCGTGACATCGATCCCCCTATCGCGGCAGAACTGGTCCTCCGGGCCAAGTCGCAGGCAATCCCGGCAGCTACCCCATATCAAAGTGCGCCGCCTCCCCAACCGCAGTATCCAGGATACGGTCAGCCGTACGGACAGCCTGTACCACCTCACACACCTACCTACCCCGGAAACCAAGGTCCTCCTCGTGGCCCGCCTCCTGCTCAGCAGCCCCCGGTCACCCCAGCGGATCTTGCTAGCATGATGAGCGGTATCGACAATGCGACCCTCCAGCGGCTGTTAGCCAGCATGAGCTCCCAAGGCGCTGGCCCGGCTGCTCCGAACAGCGCCGCCGGGGCTGCAAACGCTCAGTTTCAAGCCCTCATGGGAGGCATGCAGACGGCACCGCCTGCGGCACCGACCCAGCCTGCCTCGTACGGCGGACAGGCGTATGCTCCCAATGGCCCGCCGCCAACCAACGGCCACCCTGTGCCAGCCGGCACCGGTGATTCAGCCGCGCAGGTTGAGAACATCATGGCACAGCTTGCCAGATATCGACAGTGAGGTTTGTCGTACGAGTTGTCTATCCAAGGGGGCGCTTGACGAAGACACGACGACGCGGGGACGGCTTTGTGTATTTACTACCCGGCGTTACGTGGGTTGTGGAGCTATCGCATCGGCTGCACAAGGGAGAAGGTGGGCAAAATATGGTTTTCTAGACTTTCGCAAGTGCTTTTGGCCCACATGAGGCGGGACTTTTGACTCCCATGTACTCTACTGCGGGCCGATTACATCAATACAGGCGTATATACCATTCTCCTCAGTCTCCTTGCGCAAAACAAGCAATTCAGTGACCCCCCCCCCCCCCCCCCCCCCCCCCTCATTCGCCCAGCGAGAGCTCTACAGCTTCTCAGCAGGCTTGTTGAGGAACGCCGTGCACTCGATCTCGACGTCAGTGCCCAGCGGGAGCTGGTACACTGCGACGCATGTCCGGGCCTGCATCTAGGTCAGTTTTTTGGCTTCTCGGAGAGGGGGGGGAGCCTGCGAAGGTCAAAGCTGCTGGCGCGCGCGCGCGCGCGGCCTGGCTGCGTGAGACTTACGGGCTTGGGGTCCCAGGTGAAGAACTCGTCGTAGGCCTCGTTCATGGTGGCGAAGTCGGCCATCTTTGTGATGTAGATGTTGACCTTGACGACGTTGCGGAGGCTGCTCCCCGAGGCCTCGAGGACGGCGGTGAGGTTCTTGAGGGCCTGGCGCTGCAGGGGGGTGTAATTGTGTCAGTATGACTTGTCAGGGTGTCCAAGGGGTGGAACAGTCATGGGGAGTGAACAAGGCGAGACAGTGGATAAAAGGGGACGGAACGGGATAGGAGACGCACAGTCCGGTCCTTGACGGTGCCCTCGGCCTGCACCATGCCCGGCTTGTCGGGGAGAATGCCGATGTTGCCAGAGCAGTAGACCATACCGTTGTACTTGATGGCCTGGGAGAACTGCGGGAGGGGCGCCGGGGCGGCGGTGGTGAGGACCTTTTCGATTTCGGGCATGATTGCGGTGTTTTGTTCCCAAGGAGTGTGATTTGGCCGATTGATTGGCGTATCTGGACGACACTGGGTGTGAATGGTGTCAATCGGCTAGAAACAGAATGAGAGATGTATGAGAAGAGAGGTGTTACGGGTTGATATAACAGAGCGTGTGAAATTGAGGATGATAAATCAACATCAAGTAAACAGCGCGATAGGCACCGGCGCGGGGTCGGAGGGGATGTGGGACCTGTGCCGGCGGCGGGGTGTGGGGATTTAGCTATCGGGGCATGTCAGTGAAGGGCGTCAAAGGGCGAAGGGCGGAGTTGGAGGTGTTTACTTGGACGGCCGGAGACTCTTACGGGACGGGCTTTCGCTCTGGAGATTCTGTTTGCAGTTAACGAGACAGTGTCCTCCCGGAAAGCAATTATAGAGGGAGGAGAATCGGGTTCGTGAACATAACGCTTATCTAGGAAATTCTCAGAGTTTGAAGTTCACACAGCGATGCTCTCTGGTGGTCAATGCACGTGTGCTGCCATGGGATGGAGAGTATCTTTGCAGACACTGGTACTAAGCTGCGAGGCTCACTCACAAATCGCACCTCGTAGCCATTAGTATTTGCTCGAAATTAGCCTACGTGCAACTTACAACGATGGCTACGGCCTCCAAAACTAACGGAGGGTCGCTGTGGTATCGATGGAAAGCGTTTTCTCCACTTCAGCGGGTGGGGTCACCTTCGCCGCGGGACGGAGATCACGGTGTAAATTGACCGGCCGAAGCCGGCGTCTACGCCGACTTCTGCAACACTGACCTTCACAAAGTCACTATGTTTTCTTTTCCGGATAATTTGAACGCAAAACTCAAGCCCTTCGATTAGAGAGATGACTCGAGTAGAAACGCGCTCAAGCTTCCAGATGTAACAAAGATAACCGTTCCCAACCGTCAAACATCCGCCACATCCTCTCAGGCCAAATCTAACTAAGTTGATAGATGCTCTTAAACTTCAAGCTATGCATGACATGTCCCTACTCCAAATTCAGCCAATGCTTGAGCTTCTCCAGCACACCGTCTCTGCACTAGCTTAAACCCAAATTTACCAGACTACCACCTCCGGAACCTGGCTTTATGGCATCAAGACAACTTGAACTGCTTCGAGAACCTTTTTTGGAGTAAAGCTGTTGATCCGGTACAGCTTCATATAAAGGTGCCTGATCTTCCGCATCATTTGCGTTAGGCTTGGCTTTGCTCGAAGAAGAAATACAATGCCATCAACGTTGTTTGACTTTGACGTACGAGATAAGACAGGATGAACACCACTGCTAAGACCCCATCGCTAAACGCCTATTTCGGACCCGCCATCCTAGATTTTCTCTTGGAGGAATTCCAAGTAGTTGTAGTGAACTAGAGGCTGAAGAACTGCCACACAGCGGGACATTTACTCTGATTCGTCCTTGTGTCCTAGTTCCATACCCGCTTGCTATTGTTCCAGTTTCGCATTTCGGCAACCCAAGTATTGCGATTCGACCAAAACCACTCATAGCCCTCGTGTCTGAGTTTCTTTCCGGTAGAGAAGGAAGCTCTGTTGGCGTGTTAAGTTGCATAACTTAGAAAAATAAAAATAAAAAGTGTCTTTGCCCGCTTTCGACTTATGTATATTTGCACCGGGTCCACGCAAGGTCTACAACCAATCTGCTTAGAATCTGCAGCGGCATCAAGCACACAATTCTTGCCATCTTCATCATAGTACGAATTTTAGCGCCAGTCTTGATCAATGCCCCAGTAGTTGCTGGATATCATCACTCATAGGGGGGGACGAAGGGGTACTTTTCCCTTGTTGTCGACTGCATTAATATCGGCGCCAGCTTTAATCAACACCCCTGCTGTTTTAACTGAAAAGCTGAGCCTTGATGCGTGGTGAAGAGGTGTTTGTCCCTCCTTATCGACTGTATGAACATTGGCGCCAGCTTTGATTAACACCTCTGCTGTAACTGAAGAGCTGAGCCTTGATGCGTAGTGAAGAGGTGTTTGTCCCTCCTTATCGACTGCATGAACATTGGCGCTAGCTTTGATTAACACCTCTACTATAACTGAAGAGCTAAGCCTTGATGCGTAGTAAAGAGGTGTTTGTCCCTCGTTGTCGAGGGCATGAACATTAGCGCCAGCTTTAATTAACACCTCTACTGCGACTAAAGAGCTAAATCTTGATGCGTGGTAAAGAGGTGTTTGTCCCTCCTTATCGACTGCATGAACATTGGCGCCAGCTTTGATTAACGCCTCTGCTGTTTTGACTAAAGAGCCGGATCTTGATGCGTAGTAAAGAGGTGTTTGTCCCTCATTGTCGACTGCATGAACATTGGCGCCAGCTTTGATTAACACCTCTGCTGTAACTGAAGAGCTGAGCCTTGATGCGTAGTGAAGAGGTGTTTGTCCCTCCTTATCGACTGCATGAACATTGGCGCTAGCTTTGATTAATACCTCTGCTATGACTGAAGATCTGAGCCTTGATGCGTGGTGAAGTGATGTTCTGCCTGAGTTGCCACTTTTGTTGATATCAGCTCCCATACCAAGTAAGAAGTATACAATAGCTTCGTTATCCCCCTCAGCGGCGCGTTCCAACGGGCTGTACCCGTGTTGGTCAATTCCGTTAACTTCTGCTCCATATTCAAATAGAAGCTTCGCGAGGCCTACTTGACCAAGCCTTGAGGCGACACTTAGAGCCTCAATGAGATCTTGATTGCCCCTGATGGGATCAGGTATGGTGGTGAGACATTCGGTCTCAGTTAATAGCCCATTCTGGGTTCCCAAGTCTGGGATCTGCCTATTGCCAACAGAAGCTGTGGTATTAAAGCGTTCGTCCAGAATGAGCTTTACAGCACCTTCTTGTTTCTTCTCGGCGGCACCCACAAGGGGACTACAAAACTTCTCCAAGGCGAGAGACTCAGATCTCGCACCCAAACCAAACAACTTCTTCATGATATTTACTAGCCCGTGTTGTGCTGCAAAGTAAAGTGGTGTCCGGCCCTCCTTGTCTTGACAGTTGACGCTTAAGGCAACATTACTGCTGCCATCCGATTTTGGCGCATCATGAGAGTTCTTTCCATTTAGCTCTGTTTTTTTGCTGATGCAGCGTAATAGTATATCAGCTGTCGTTTCATGGCCTTCCTTCAATGCTACGAGGAGAGGGTACTGGTAGCGTCCTCCTTGAATCTCGGGATCAAGATCTCGACTCAGCGCCGTCTGAACCAGTATCGACTGGCCTCTTTCGGCAACAATGTACAGAATATTAGTTGAGACAGGCTCATGCCTTCGAACTCTGTGTTGCTCCAATACGTTATTCAGCTTGATCCATTTTTTGACCGGAAACCCCTGAAGTAAGAAATCATCTTGTGGGATTGTCTGTGCCGCTGCATCGGCATGAAAGAGGACCATAATTGTTGCGTAATCCAGGAATGGGAAGCCGTCGGTAACGCTTTGCTTAATGCGCTTGGAAGCCGCTTTAGGTGTTTTCAGAAGAAATTCATCCTCAGGGAGCTGAGCTGATATGTCTACATTGTTGACGTACACAAAACAGCAATTTTTTAGTCGGTCGTGACTTTGATTTTCGAAATCGGTGCCCAATTCTGGCCAAAGCTTCCGTAAACCGTTGTCCTTGAGCAGAAAATCTCTCACTGATTCGTGGATGAATTGAACCGTCTTTTTCTTTGCCTTCGTTGTTTCTGCAAGCCCTTTGGACGAACTTACAACGAAACGCTCCATGGAGTCCACGGTGATTTCTTCCGAATCCCATTTTCCTAGGGTTTCGGGAGAATGTAATCCGGATAGCAAAGCGAAGTAGTACTCCTCGCTCTTCAAAGGTCGTTTGGAGAAGAGGATCCACTGGATAGACAGGAGCAGATCTTCCATGTTCTCGTTATCTCTCGTCAGGATGTCTTCGAAAAGGTCGCTCAGTCCTGCTGGTAGCGCCTCCAACCTCGATTTGACTGCAAACATCCGACCTCTTTGGATCTCCTTGTTGAGGATGTCGATAACTAAGACGACCCACATGAAAACCCCTGAAGCTTTGCGAAGTATTTGATCCGTTAGGTCTTCAGTTTGCTTTTTGGTCTCAGTTTCCAGCTTGTTTCGAATGTACTCTTCCAAGTCTTTCTCGTGGCCGTCTTGGGACTCCAAGGTAAGTCGCAAACCGTTCCGAATAGATATATGCGGATAGTGGCGACTAGAGAAACAAGTGTAAAGCTTGAATCCTTTCTTGACAGCGAGCTGACCAAGCTCTTCAAAGAACTTGACCATCTCTCTGACTTCTTCCTCGGCACACTCGTCGAGTGCGTCAATGAAGCAACTGATCTGGCGTTGTCCGAGTTTTCGGATTGCCCTTTTGAAAAGCTTTTGTAGGAGGCGCAACTCCCAAGGAAAATAAAGTTCCTCTGTCAAGAGGCTGGATTCTGCTGTGTCAAGCACTTCTTGCAGATCCGGCAATGTCTGCAACAGCTGGTGGAGAAGGGACCGGTACATTCCAATGGTTGTTTTTTCGATTTCCTCGCCTCTTGCATTGAAGAAGAAGTGGATGACAGTAGCATTGGCCGCGAATTTTTTTACTTTTCCTCTTTTCGTACGGTCCATGGCAAACTTCATGATTGTCGATTTTCCTGCACCAGGTTTTCCACTGATCCAGAGAAAACCGTGATGTTCTGAGATCTTCTCGGGATCTAGCCAGTCTTTGTAGCTCCGGTGATTGGTTAACCACCGGCATGTTTTCCCAAGGGCGGATTTGATATTTGATTGGCGATTATCGATCTGTTCGAATTTCAGAGACTCCAAAAGCTCTTTCCGACGTGATACTTTATCTGTGAGGATGTAAGCAACACTCTGCCTGTATCGCGAGTAACGCACTCACCGACAGGGGACAAATTGGGATGTGCCAAAGGGTTCTGGGTCACTTGTGTGGGTATAGCACAGAGGAGCTCTCTTGCATATGCAGCCGCAGTTGCAGCCGCATACTCTTGCCATTTCTTAGCCTTGTGAGAATCCGAGTAGTCGCAGATTCCGCGAATGGCCAGACAAGGGAAAGAATCCATCAAACCAGCCGCTTCCATTTCAAAACAAAGAGGGTTATGGTCATCCGCTAGCTGACGTCGCGTAAGGCCGTGCTTCATGACTTGATCTGCAGAGGCAATGACACCATAATGGATCTTTGGATGATTATCGGGCCTTCTCGGTCGATCCAGAAGTTTTGACACCTCGCATTTGGCGCAGGTATCTTCTCCTTGGGTATGATCATATGCAGCATCGAAAAGTCGGTCCAGTTCATCTGGTAGTTTCGTGAACGGGGCAGACGAGGGGTCGCGTTCCTGGATATTGGCAAGGGTTGCAGAAATGCGGCTCGGAAGTGAACTGTCTTCGGATCGCAGCTTAGCGACAACCGCGAGAAGCTCCCGCGGAGGCTTGTTTATGAAACCTGTTTGCTGAAACCGGCCGGCTTGCACAGTCTTGCCAAAGTTATACGGTACTATACCCGAAGAAGTCGTTGTTGGGTGGCTGACCACAACATCCCCAAGCCGTACGTCGTGCTTGTCCGGAGCACCGCCTCCTATGCCCACCATAAGTCGAACCTTGATCGAGGGAAAGCTCCTACGCATGTTTTCCGCCACAATCGCGGCTGAAGTTGTACCGTATTGACCGGAAGGTAAACAAGCGATTACAATGTTGTGGCCTCCGATGTTTCCAAAAGTATAGCTGTTTTCATCGCCCGGTGTTCTTGCAAGTGACTCATGGAGACCGTCCAGCATTAATCTCGCAGCCGTCATCTCCTTGGGAAGCGCGCATACCCAGCCAACTGTGTAGTCCTCGCTCTGGAAATTCCTCTGCACCTTCAGTCGTTTCGTGTCGGGCGCCTTGCTGTCGTTACTGCTGTCGCTGCTTTCACTACTGTCGCTGTCGTCGCTACTGTCCTCGTCCGTGGAGGAAACCTCCCGAGGTCTTTTCGACAATTTGGGTCGCCATTCCTCCTCAGATTCGTGAGACTCCTCGGTTTGCGCTCGCTCGGCCATGGCCGTCGCCGTCTCAAACGCAGTCTTGGTCAGTGTGGACGATGATCCTTTAAGTTGGTTGCCAGTCGTGAGAGGTTCCGTAGGATCGTGGGATAACTCGGGTGATTATTGCTGCCACCCGGCTGACTCTGCCAGGGGGTCTCCGATTGAGAGCTAGCGAAGGCAAAGAAAGGTTTGAGATCTGAAGCTCCGGTTGTCGCCTGTTGCTCGCGCAATATAGCCTGACGAAAGCAAAACGCGCTCTAATGGTCGATGTTTTTGATAGACGGTTTGCTCCAGATCAGGCTGGGCTAGGCAACATGTTCCGCGGCCCATCTGCCTGTAAGGATGCAGCCCTCTTGTTCTCTGCACCGTCGCTCAGCAAATTTCGCGGCCCGACTGGGCATACTTGGACGATGGTGCATGACAAAAACGGCGCCTAATTGGCTTGAAAGAGGGCATAGCGGATTTGGCTACCAAAGTGTACCAGCCAGGATGGTTGGCGGATACGAAGGTGCAAAGCAGTGCGGCACAGCGTGCAGGTGATCATCCTTGCAGGGTCCTATTCCTTGCTTGACTCCGTAAGTCAGCAATGACTTGACCGCCTCTGCCTCGATGTCGCCTCGTTCGATTGATCTGGAAGAATTGCCTCACCTAAGAAAGGGCAATATTTGTCGGAACCCCCGCATCAGAGCTGTCGCCGTCGTCAAGGAAACAGCGACAATCTTGATTACACAAAACTGATCATTTCCTCATGAACTCCAACAACTATCAACAACACAGGAATCTTGGTCTCCACAGATCATTCATTTTCTGCAAGATTCTGTGCGCTGCATTATGAGCCCTCCGACAGGACTCAGAGACACATTCCCTGTTCTGGTGACTGTATGGGAACCTAATAGCTGTGCAGTCTAGGCGGCTGTCATCAGAAATAGAAGCTGAAAACAAGGCGAGCTATTGTCACTTATGAATTGTTCCATATCCTAGTTTACGCACTGAAGCTTTTACTACGTGCTACTAGGTAAACCTATCTCCAGGGAAGTGTAGCACTCTGTACAACTCGGTTTGAAATAGGAGTCGGTTTAATCGTCTGAACAATCTAAGCACATACAATACACCCTGAAAACATCCGCATGTCGGATTGTTGTCGCAGATGCAAAACTTTGTGCTTTTACAAAGTGCATGTTTCACTATATTCTTGGAAGATTTGATCGCGTCCCTGGACTTGTCTTTGACACATTGGTCAAGTGCGCTGATGAGGTAGTTAAACATTTTTGGCCTAGCTTCTGGACTGTCCTTCGGAATAAGCATTTAATAGTATGTATTTACATGGACGAGGATTCGTGTTGGCTAAGGCGTTCCAGCCTGGCTTAACAAGAACCTCTTCAGGGTCGGGCAGACTTTGGAAGAGTTCATATAGCAGAGAGCGGTGTGTCCCCAAGGTCGATTTGTAAGGTTCTTCGCCTCTGGTGCTGGAGCAAAATAGCAGAATTTTCGTGTTTGTAGCCTATTTCAGAGATATATTGGAACGGGGCAGGGTTTCCTGCTCCTATTGTGGTGGTCTTTGCGTTTGGTTTCTTTGACGTCTTAGCTAAGCAGGGTCTGATCAGGGGTATAAAAATCTCTATGACGTGGAGGGACTGAGATCAGACAAGCACAATCAACACACACTCATAAGACTTTTCTGCGCCCAAGGGAGCATTCCTCTGTCTTCTGTGATGACCACCACCCTGATCGTTTCTACACAAGAACTTTAGAAGTCTCTACTTTATCCATGGCGTTGAGGCTAAGCCTGATCAGGGCAGATTTGATCTGATCGGGACAGCTGATTTGTGACGGCTTGAAGGCATCTTGCGTAGCTATAGGGGAGGTTGTGGTTGTTCACCGCACCGCACCGCTCTCTATAGACCTGATCACCCTGAACGCTTTCAATATCTAGCATGACCAAAAAGAGTCTTCATGACTGTTGGTTTTCTGGCTTCAAGTTTGCTAATGGCCCATTTCTAAACACAATGTTCTGTCTCTTTTCGAGGGTTCTGCTAGTCTTCAATAGTAAGGGTGAACAGAGAGTTGGCGCTAAGCGTTTCATGGAGCAGACTGTATAGTAAAAAGTCCAGTACTAATCTGGTAGAATCCATGGACTCTGCTAGCTCTTTTCAACGTTTGACTATTTTTCATCCATTCTTTTCCAGCAGTAACAATAGCCCGGTGCGCGCCAAAGGAATGAAAGATCAAAGTTTGTTCTCCATGTGGGAGCTTTAACTGTCAAAAGCTCAAACAGCTCAGATTCAACCGAGACTTGTGCTCCACCAGGAGTTCGCTTCTGCCTAGTCTTATAGCCAGGTCTACCAGACTCTCGCGTCTTGGCCCTGTCTTCGTGGCATCGGTCCGCTGTCAAGAGAACTTGAATCGTTTGCTCCTGAGAGCCTTTGTCGTATGCAGCCTCTTCGGCTACTATGGCTTCGTAAAGGGCCATGCGATCTTCCCCAAGGGTTTTGTTATGGTCTGCTTTGTTCTCAATATTAATACATTCAGCTTTGCATATCTTTGCGGCGACTAGTATCGATGTCCAGCCATCTTTGTCATGAGCGCAAATGCCGGCGCCAGCCGTGATCAACGCCTTAACAATTGCTGAAGGACGGTGCTGACATGTCTCGTGGAGGGGCGTATTGCCCTCATTTTTGATGGCTTGAATATTGGCCCCCTCTTCGACCAATATCTGTGATATTGACGAATTAGAATAATTGAAGGCCTCGCGTAGCGGCGTATCGCTTCCGATGTCGGCCGCTCCGATGTAAGCACCTCTCCTAATCATTTGTTATACTATTGCTGGACGGCCACATCAACAGACACAGTAGAGTGGTGTGCTTTGGTAGTTTCCAGCTTGATTGGTGCCCGCTCCAAAAATCAAGCAGTAGTTCTACAGCAGCTTCTTTTCCTGCTCTGACAGTGCTTTCAAGTGGCGTTTCACCAAAGGAATTGACTCTTTGGATGTCTGCGCCGCAATCAAGCAGGAGAGGTGCGATGCCTTTATGCACCGTCTTAATGACGACACTTATTGCGTTCTTTATGTCTTCCTGGGCTGTGGTATTGTTAAGTCTTGAAGAAAGACCGTCAAACTCCCTGGGTTGTCTGTTTGGGATAGTCCTGATTACTAGTTATTCCCCGCCACCATATTGGGCTTCGAAAGTCGATATAGCCGAGACACGGCGAAGATGCTCGTTCTCCAAGCACCTATAGATTAAGAGCCTTACCACTGCTCCCTGTTTCTTCTCAACGGCTTGAAAAATTGATGTGTGACCAGTTTACCTTGACCGAGAGTAAGCATTCGTGCCTACGTCAAGCAGCTTTTTTCAGCTTCATCACCTCGCCTCGTTATCGCCTCGTTTGGTTGCTCCGCATCAATTACTGTTGGTATCACAGGATACTGTACAAGTACGGATTTGGGTATCGCAGTCACTTGCTGTGAAGATTGTCTGCGAAGGTAGTTGTATTAGAAGGAAGCGAAAGGTGAAGCTGAAGGTGGCCGTCGAGAAGATATTGCTGGGTGGGCAATCAGATCCGTAATATCTGATTGGTCGACGAAGGAGGTCACCTGACCCCTGCCACCCTTCAGCCACTTAAGGTTGAGGATATTCCAACAATTACATCATCTAAGAAAATGTTATATTGTGTTTGTAATAATAACAGACCACACCCGTCGCCATCATGGAATAATTTACGGCAGCCTTGATAATCCATGGTTGATTCAAAATACTTTCCACGAGCCAAAACGCCAACGGTTATCCACGACGTAAGAAATCGGGTTTCCATATGTCCTTCGTTTTCCCCAAGATCCTTTGAACGGAGGTTTGCGCCCTCCGACGGTGTCCAAAGACAACGACCCCTGTTTTGGTAATTGCGTGCTGAGGCACCGCAGCTGTGCTGTCCCGTCGCTTGTCGTCAGATATATGCTGGAAAAAAGGTGACGTCTTTCCCCAGACTGAGTGGTGATTCTTTTTGTTGCATGTCGTCCACAGATCACTCTCCGCATTCCAAAATGTGCTGTCTCCCAAGGTACAAGTGCCAGTACTGAGCGCATCCACGCTGCTGGCGGCCTTTTGTGAAAGCGCCTCCAGACATTGCATATGTGCTGCTAGGTAGAACCTATCTTCCGGGAGAGTGCAGCACTCTATACAAACAGGTTTTGCAAGAGGCACTGGCTTAATCGCCTGGCCAATTCCCGCACAGACACCAACAACATCCACGTGCTGGATAATATTCGTCCACGAACCAGCCAAGCACTCTGATCCGGAGATGTCGATTTCTTTGAGCTGACTGCCCCTATCCGGTGGAGAGATGATATCCATCAGCTCTGAAGCGAATATGAGGCCTCTTTCTGGTCCTAGACTAACTTCACGCGTTTTAACGATGTCGGTATTGATACGGAGGACAAGCTGGCCTAAAGTCTCAGCCCCATCTTCTCCGGATTTGCCAAGGACAATCAACGCATACTTTTCTTCTATGGCGTCTACAACAGCCTGATGCCCATCCGGGCCTGGTATTGCAAAGGGTATAGGGCTTTGAGTGATGTCCTTTTGCATAGTGTCTATGAAGTATTGGTGGCACATATGGAGAAGCAAACTTAACTTTGGTACTAACCACGCTTGCTTTGTTTGCGAATCGATAACAAGCGCTACTAGTCGTCGGCTAGTTCGAATAGCTTTTCGGTAAATTTGGGGAGCATCAAATCTAAGACGATTTGTAGTATACTCCAAGACATTCATGCCTTGAATTGCGAGGCTGATGGGCCCAGCAGAGCCGTTGACTTGGCCGCCAAATTCACGACCTTTTAGTTGAAGGGTCTTTTCCCGTCCTCTGCTACCGCTCCAACCCATTGGCTTCGAAGAACCAAGAAGCTCGCGCGTCCCTAAAAGCACATGTGCGACCTCGAACCAGCCAACGAAGCATCTTGACTGCTGTAGAATAGACGGTGTATCAAGCTTTGCCCAGATTTTCTTTGTTGATTCTAGCTTATCAGGCCGAATCCAATCCTCTTCTTCGTTGCTTACAGTTTCAAGATGCCATTGGATGCCGCGGCTTCTTTCGTCATAAGCAACTGGAACAAGGGCAGTAAGGAACCCGAGCATGATTAGGCCGCCGTCCATTCTATGGTAATTCTCAACAGCTGCCATGTGTACCATTTGTTCAAAGGATAGTTCGAGACCATTTCCCCAACGACGCTGAAGGTGATGCCAAACTATCATGCCGGTGCTGAAGAGTTTTGTCCAGCATATTGACGCACCCTCTGGCGACCAGTCTTCCAATGGCTGCAGAGCATACGCAAGAAGATGAGGCTGATTCCCGGAGAATTGTGCCGTTATGCTGCTTCTTGATAACATGAAGCCTTCGTTCTGGCCTTTCATCTTTTTCGGAAATGGTCTCAATGCTGAGCAGATCCAATTGATTGCATCAATAAAATCCTGTTGGTTATGTTCGATATCTTGCATACGAATAATAAAATATTTCTTTGCAGAATGGAAGATAGTAGCGCTTGTCCTTTTGAGAGATTCAGACGCAGCAGCTTCGTCCTCGGTAAAGTCGGTGGCAACAGCCTCTGGCGAGACGACTAACACAACACCCTGACTAACCAACCGCAGGGCATCTAAGCCTAAGCTTCCCCAATGTTTCTCTAGAAACTCACCACAAGTTGTGTGTTCAAAAATATCTGTGCTGCCAGAAATAACATCGCATTTAGAAAACAAAGAGATAGCATGCTCTGTGGATTCCAATGGTGTTGCACATTGGATTTCTTCCATAACATAGGGTGCTTCCCACTGGCAATATAGGTAACCCGTCCAAGGTTTCTTATTCATGGCAGTGTTGGGCTTGAAGCACAACCCCAGCTTGGAGAGAAGACATAAAGCTCCAGTCCGACTTTTCTTACTGAAAGTAGACCAACTGGACCTAAGAAACAAGAGCAGATCGTCTGCCGACTCTTGAACCCACGAAGGTTCAAACGCCGCACCATAGTATGCCAGTATTGTAGCAAGCTCAAGCTTGTTCTGCTCTAGGGCTAAACTCAATGCTGTTTTGCCGGCCCAATCGCTGAGTTCGATATCAGTTCCAGAAAGTAGAAGAGCCTCGGCGTCTTCATCACACTTCTCGTGTATCGCAACGTGGAGAGGACAAGTCAGGTCGAAGGACGTAAGCTTCGTAGCCAAAGCAAGTAGGGGCTCCCTTCTGAAGAGGATATCGCGATCCCCTGTATCACTAGCGAAGCTTATTTGATTCTTTGCGGTGCCGTCCAGGGTAGACGTTGAAAAAAAGTTAGCGAGCAGCCGTCGGGATAGTTTCTCGCTGTTTCCCATGAGAAAGTTGATCATCCATCTTTGGGTACTATTGGTAGCCAGAACCTTAAGGGATGTTGCGTAAGACTTCATCAACAGGCCGATAGATACCACAACCTTATCCGCAGAGTCTGCCTCTTCAAGAGACTTGTTCCAGGATGGGTCTAAGTTGGCATCTTTCTTCATTTCTTTGATTAGTTGGATCATCACGTCCATTAAATCATCCATAATTGGAGCTGGACTTAGAAGGAGCTGGACAATTTGTTGATGATCTCGTGATCTAGCCCAAGAAAGTGGACTTCTTTTGGCATTGTCGGATCTTTGCCAATCCACTCGGTCATCAGAAACCAGTGACAGAACAATATTGTAATGTCCATGTTCAGCAGCTAATGATAGCGGTGTACGGCCTTCGTTGTCTCGAGAGTTCGGGTCAACACCATCGGCACCGAGAAGCAGATTGACAACCGCAGCGTGACCGTGCTTGGCCGCCCAAGAAAGAGGCGTCCGGCCCATCAAGTCATCTCTCAGGTCAATTCGGGGGCTTTTGTGACTCGACTGCAGCATGATCAGGACGATAGCGCTGTGTCCTTTGTCTGCTGCCCAGGATAAAGGGGTTCGTCCTGTCTTCGCAGGTTTCGAGTCGATCTTGGCCCCAAGCTCGAGAAGTTTTGCTGCTATCGTTTCATGACCATTCTCAGATGCCTTTGAAAGTGGTGTACGGCCAGTGTTGTCTTTCAGGTCATAAGGTACTGAGCTCCCAAGAAGATCTAGTGCTATTTTGGTAGCACCTCTTTCAGCTGCCCAGTACAAAGGGGTTCTCCCACTCCCGTCTTTGGATCTCAGGTCTGATTTCCCGCTTTCAATTAAAAGCTTTGCAAGACTGAGATGTCCATTCTCGATAGCCCAGGATAAGGGTGGTTGGCCTGGCCGAGATTTGTGAGCTGATCCATAGTTCAAGTGGTCCAAAATCTCATCTAAGATCTCCATTTGGAAAGTTGCCTCGCCAGCTTCGGCCCGCTTCGGCGATAGAGTGAATGAACCGCTTTCCTGTTTCCTTTAACCAAGGCCGCAAACAATGGATAGCCATGGCGCCCGCCTTTGACGTCTATCTTTGAAGTTTGCTGAAGTTTCGTGTCAATGAGCCTCCATAAGTTCTGATCGGCTAGAACATAGAGGAGGCTTGAAGATGGTCTATAATGATACGATTCGTCCGGTGCAAACAGATTATGTAGGTCAACCCAAAGTTTGGCGTCGAATTGACGAACAAGGTCTTCTTGCGGTACAGTGGAAGCAGCAGCCTCAGAGTGATAGAGAACATTATCTGTTGCGTACTGCAAGAATGGAAATGCGGATTCTACTTGCGACCGTACGATCTTCGAAGTTGAATCGAGGTTCTTTGCAGATGACCCACCACGATTTTCAATGCCCATGATATCGAGTACATCGACGTTCATGTATTGATAGCAAAATTTGCTCAATCGGTCGTGACTTCTGTTGGTGAATTCGTCAAGATTTCCAAATTCCGGCCAGATGTCGAGTATGCCATTCTCTCCAAGGAGAAAATCCCTCACAGATCGGCTGATGAATTGTACTTCTCCGTCAGTTTTAGATATCTCGGCAAGTCCTTTCGAAGAGGAGATGACGAATTTCTCCATGTAATCCTTGCTGGTTTCCTGGGTAGTCACATTGCCTACGCCATCGGGTCGCAGACCAGACTGAAGCGCAAAGAAGTACTCATCAACCTTGAGTGGTCGCCGAGCAAACAGTATAAACTGCAGACCAAATAGTAACTCGTTCCGGTTGTCGTTGTCGCGCGTTAACATGTTTTTGAACATGTCGCCTAGGCTATCTGGCCAAGCTTCAAGTATATTCCCTACTGCAGGTAGACGACCGCGAAGCAGCTCTTTGTTAAGAACATTAACGATCAATACGGCCAAAATGAAAACCCCAGATGTCTTTCGAACAATATCGGATACAGTTTCATTGTCGTACTTTGACGATGGGAGGAGTCTGGTTTGCACGTATTCTTCCAAATCTCTCTTGTGTCCGCTATCGTCGTCTAAAGAGAGTCCCAGACAATTTTGGTAGTTAATCTGAAGATAGTTTCGACTTGAAAAGCAGGTGTAGAACTCAAGGTCTCGCGAAACAGCACTTTGTCCTAGATCTTCAAAAAATCTAACGATTTCGTAGGCTTCACTCTCGAAACACTCATCAATGGCATCGATAAAGCAAATTACTTTCCGCTCGCGGCCAAGTCTTGCTACTGCATCAGAGAAAAGTGATCTTAGCGTTTGCAAATTCCACGACAAAGAGCCGCTCTGAGGTTGGTCATCGATGATCCTGTTGAGCACGTCTTGAAGGTCCTCGAATCTCTGCAATAACTGGAGCAGAAGCGACCGATACATGCCTTCGGCTGTCTTTTCAAGAGCGACTCCTCTGGCATTGAAGAAAAAGGATATTACCACTGTGCCCGAGCGAATATTCTGTCTCGCACTTTCAAATGCAAATTTGATAATAGTGGATTTTCCCGAGCCAGGGTTTCCGCTGATCCACAAGATTCCATGATGCTCAGGAAACTTTCCAGGATCCAACCAACCCACATAGCTGGGATGGGTATGCAACCATCGACAACTATTGAGAGTGGCTGACTTGATGTGGGCGCCATGGTGACCAGGGTGATGGAACATCAAGGACTCAATTACTCTTGCTTGGTACTGCAATTGTTGTGATTTGTCTGTCAAACGTTAGTACGGTCAGGTCAGAAAAGTATTGCACATGGGTGACCACTACCAGACGACTTGAGATTTCCAAACGTCGTATGGATCTCTTGTGCAGGAATCGCCAAAAGTAGCTCCTTCGCGTATGCTGCCGCGGTTGCAGCAGCATAACGTTGCCATTGCTTTGCTTTGTGGGAATCTGCGTAATCGCAAATTCCCCGAATCAACAAGCATGGAAAATGATCCATAAGCCCGGCCGCTCCTATCTCAAAGCAAAGCACATCAAGTTCTCGCGCTATGCGGTCTCTAATTTGGCCATTCTTCATCGTCTGGTTTGACGAAGCAACAAGACCGTGGTGAATCCTCGGGTAATTATCTGGCCGCATGTCTCTTTCGA